ACATAATTTTATTTTAACAATATTTACACTAACTACCTACCTACTACTTATTCGAATTGAAGTAGGATTTAAATACATTTTTTGTTAATTTTTAAAACATTGTAAAGTGGCTCCTGAACAATTATTGTATTAATAATATATTGGAGATGTATATTGTCGTTACTCTCATAATGTCTTAATTTAAACCCCTACCATACACAAGTMGATTCTTAAGATTCTTTTATCGCAAGTATTTAGGCAATATCACAACGATATACACTACAAAAGAATCACCTTGCAGCAATTCGAATAGACAATAGTTTACCCTGTGTGTARCCACCCGTTCGAATCAATCGTMTCCTTTGTCTTCTCTTCATCATTAAAGTAACCGTTCATGTTCAGGTAACCGCGAATCAACAGTTCTCCGGGAGTTCCGAACGGTACCATATTGCCATTGGTATCGACCACTTTTGCCTAGAAATTAACAACGCACGTGATCGAAATTAAATAGTTCATATATAATAACAATGATCGACTATTGCAGTCTATAGTCGACATTAATACATTCGTTATTGTATGAAAAATTGTGAACTATATATAGTTAAAGAGAGCTATAATAGCAGCTTTAACTTAAGAGGATGTCAGCACACTGTAGTTTGTTTTTTCTCACTGGCCCACGCGTAACATAGACAAAACGCATTTACGCAGAATAATTTTTTTTTATGTTTATGTGTAATCTGAAAGTATAATTTCTGGGTGATCACCGGATGATTTGCACTCATTGCAAAAACTATAAGGAATAATATTTTTTATGACATTTCAATATTTGTCTAAATACTGTCTCAAAACAATTTAAACATAATTTAAATTAAATTTTTTTTTTTCTTTGAAATTCGATTACAAATGTTAATAATAATAATAATAAATATAAAACCAATATGACGCCTTGGTGTTATACCCTCAAAAATATTAACCTTAATGATTTTTGTATAAGGTGTTTTCAATCTAAGATTACTTAAAAATCATTTTAAAAAAACGAAAGCGTTTTATCCATGTTAGGCATGGGTTTGAAAAAGAAAATCAAATTGAATTATAATCCTCATAAATCTAAGACAAACTTCTTGCTGAACAAGGTTAATTATTATTTATTGTTATAATTATAGCTCCTCCGCTATTATGCGTCTGTGTCATAATATGTTTTATTACATTGTTAGAAAGCCTACTGACCTCCACGTGATCTTGTATAAAACCCATCGTCGACTGTACTCGTTCATCTGAATCGCTTAGAAAATTTTGAAACGTACAGGGACTAGTTTCTGTCATCCCAAACAAACTCTAAAACAAATACATTTAATTTAATTATATTAAAAGTAAAAACCGTTTCAACTGTCGAGACTGAATAGCTACGACGAATTCTGAAAAAAGAAAATAATATTCTAATCAATTTTAAAGTACCAATATTTTAGCGTTTGGAAACATGTTCTTGAACTTAGACATCAAAATCGGAGAACACGGGGCACCACCGGTGATTGCGAGCTTAATGTCGTTATCTTGTAATTCTGGTGAAAGTTTTTCGAAAGCGGACATGGTGTCCACATGTACCGTAGGCGTACCAAATATAAATGTACATCTATTATAATATTTACATATTATTTATAAAAATCACTTGAATTATATATAATATACTTATTTTTTCAGATGATATATTTTATKCTAATATTTTGGTATTTAATAATGTATACTGTATAGGTACAAATATTAATAACATACATAATATAACTTTTTTTTGAGATTGTTATAATTATACATTTTACACTTTCTATACCGCAATTCATTCTGTATATAATAATAGCTAACAATAATAATAGGTACACTATATATTAATATTATGTATATTGTATAAATATTTTTATATGCAATGAATAATATATTAATTTATTAAAAATTCATTTGGAATATAAAAATTTAAAATTTGCAGTATTACTTTTCTTTCGTAAGAACATCGACTGTAGCTTTCGGATCGAAATGGGCTGACGGTAAATAAACTGTTGATTTGGTAACCATAGGTGCAACGACGGCAATGGATAAAGCAAAAGCATGAAACAAAGGCATTGGACAGCAGAATTTATGTAATTCACCCTAAACGTAAATGATACTCATAACATATTCACATAGTATCGGATTAGTAAGTAATAATATAATATTTACAACCAAAATGGATGGTAAAATATTTATGATAATATTACTTTATTGATATTATCATCGTAGATCCCTAAACGCTTCATAATAAAGTAGGCGTTGTTAATTAGACCAAAGTGATTCAACATTGCTGCTTTTGGCTTTCCAGTAGTACCCTAAAAATAAAAATAAAATCACCAATGTATTTTGAAATGCATTTTGTTGCACGAACGGTTGACAGAAAGTTTTATTTTATTCACAATATAATTGTTTGTTGATTAATTGTTTAGGTATTTCCAAAAATTCACTTTACGTCTTAACATTAATTAAAATGATTTATATCTTATTCTATTAACTATGAAAGCATTATTAAATGTACAGACTGTTCATAACTTTATAAATTATAACCGTGTATAATGCATATGAAGTAATAAATTTCATTTAATATTATATAACTTGATATATTTTAACTACGAGAGTTGATGTTAAAAAAACACATTGGTTAGTAAAAATAATGTTTTTTTTTTTTTATAACCGAAAAAATTCTATTGCAAACGCTACTTCATGAAAAGTCTGATTATAGAAGCTGTGTTCATGGATTGATAACATATTATATATAATAAAAAAACCAATACTCTAGCATATAATAAAAACCTAAACAGACAAACAGTAAATTGTTTTACTTACTGAAGTAAACTGAATATTGCATCCTTCGTCTGGTTGAACTTTAGGAATACTATAGTTTGTATTTGAACCCAGGTCCAAGAACGTTTGTAAATTAAAGGCACCGCTGGTAACACAAGTTATATGATGATATAAATTATTATTATTAAATCAATTTCAGCTTACTAAGTATTGAATATATGGGACAAATATATATATACTTCAATTATTTATCAAAGTATCAAATGTAATAATATGCAATTGCTAACTTAAAACGGTTTTCGGAATCAAAAATAACCGATTCCAGCGTGGGCAACGTTTTYGACTCAACCCGTGTATTGGGTGGTCGCTTCCAAATGTCCGGATCTACCTTTTCCAATATTTTTGGATAATTTTGAGTCTTAAACTTCTCTAAGGTCACCAGGCACTTCACTTCAGCCAGCGTTAAGCTGTGTTTCAGTTCATCGCTCTGATAAGCTGGATTGACGTTTACCTACAATCATAATAATATACATTCGACTTAAGTGGTATACTATTACCTACTCCGATAACTATAATATATAGGCTCAAGGGGAGAAGGGGGGGCTTTGTGCCTAACTCGCGAATAACGAATTTKTATCCGTTAATATAATTTGAGAACACTGCAGAGTAAYAACATATATTATTATAATATATGATATCAAAACTAGCAAAACCGTTACACACAATAAAMCCCTTATAACTTGATAGAACTACAGGATCTGTTGGAAATTTTAATTTAAAAACTACTAATTTATAGAAAATTAAAAATATATAAAATACATTAAGACACTGCAGCACCAGTAGCAACAAAAAGCTTAATAAATATTCATATTATACATTTTGTTACAGTTAGGTAGTGAAACAATGACAAAAAATGGATAAATATTTACCAAAATTAGTCCAAGACGAGCTGTTGCGATAATCACCGTATAGTAAAATGCGCAATTTGGCATCCATATTCCGACTCGGTCACCGTGCTTGAGGCCAATGRCATTAAAGCTCCTGCAAAGCTTATCCACCTGCGGGAAMAATATGAATCAATTAGCGCGCAAGTTTACAATACCTATACCTATTTAATTAATATTTTTTCAAAATGTCGCAATTATTATTGTGTACCTAGCTACATCAAGGTTATAATGTCGTAAAATATCATAAAAATGGATAGTACAAAAAATCATAATAATTATGTTATAGCTTTCGGCGGCGAAACCATTAATATAATTTTATTTTTTTGAGTTTTTGCTGACCTCGGAATCCACGGCAGCGAACGTGTATCGTTTGTTCTCGTGYCGGCTAACGAGAAACTCGCGGTCCGGAGTCTGTTGCACGGCGTCATTGAAAATTCCTCCGATCGTATAAGCTTTGAGCGGATCACTCGAGGCCCCGTTCACGTAACTGTACTTCGACCAGTGATTATTCCTCGAAAATTTGTGATAACTGCAGAAAAACGCGAACGATGAATTAAAAGATACAATATAATTATAATTGTGCGATATATTATTACAAGACTACAAT